GAGCAGCTTCCATAACAGACTGTGACACAGTTTGTCAGAATGCTCTCTATTGTGCAGCGGTAGAAGTTCACCAGGACGGCTGATGAAAGCTGGTTCTTCTTCAGTTGTCTTAAGAAGAATAGGCGCTGGCGAGCCTTCTTGATCAGGCTGGAGCTGTTGGTGGACCAGGAAAGGTCCTTTGAGATGTGGGTCCCCAGGAACTTAAAGGATGAGACAGGCTCAACGGCCATCCCATTGATGTGGATGGGATCATGTGAGCCTGTTCATCCCTTTCTGAAGTCCACAATGAGCTCCTTGGTCTTGTTGGTGTTAAGGAGCAAATTATTGTCGGTGCACCAAGTGGCCAGATGCTGTATCTCCTCCCTGTAGGCCGTCTTATCATTGTTGCTGATTAGACCAATCACTGTGGTGTCATCTGCAAATTTGATGATGGTGTTGGATCTATTAACAGGCCTACAATCAACGGTAAAAAGGGAGTAGAGGAAGGGGCTCAGCACACAGCCCTGTGGTACACCAGTGTTGAGTGTGACGGTGGTGGAGCAGATGCGGCCTGATCTAACATTTTGAGGTCTGTTAGTCAGAAAGTCCATAATCCAGTTGCAGAGTGATGTGTCGATATCCAGGTTCCTTAGTTTGATCAGTAACTTGGAGGGTATGACAGTGTTGAATGCTGAGCTGAAGTCCACAAACAGCATTCGTGCATAAGTGTTTTTATTGTCCAGGTGTGTGAGTACAGAGTGCAGTGCTATAGAGACTGCATCCTCTGTGCTCCTGTTGCCAAGGTAGGCAAACTGATGTGGGTCCAGTGTGGGTGGCAGAGAGTCTTTTAGATGTGCAGGACCAACCGCTCGAAGCACTTCATGATGATGGGTGTGAGTGCTACAGGCCGGTAGTCATTCAGGCATGTTGGGCTGGAGTGTTTGGGCACTGGCACAATTGAGGTGGTTTTAAAGCATGTTGGCACGGCTGCTAGGTTAAGCGACAGGTTGAAAATGTCTGTGAATACCCCAGCAAGCTGTTCTGCACATACTTTGAGGACACGCCCAGGAATACCGTCTGGTCCAGCAGCCTTACACCCATTGATACGACTCAGTGCGGTGTGTACTTCTAAGGAGGTGAGTGTGATAGGTGAGTGGTCGGTGGAGGAAGTGATCCTGGTGTAGGGTTCTTTATTATCTCTATCAAAGCGGGCGTAAAAGTCATTTAGCTCGTTCAGGAAGGAGACGTCTGTGGCTGTGGGTGTGGACTGGCTGGGTTTGTAGGTGGTGATGGCCTGGATGCCCTGCCACATGTGCCGAGGATCAGAGTTGGAAAAGTGCTCCTCTAGCTTAAGCTTGTAGCAGTGCTTGGCCTTTTTGATGCCCCTCTTCAGATTAGCCCTGGAAGTGTTGTAGGCCTGTGGATCCCCTGATTTGAAGGCAGTGTTGCGTGCTTTCAGCAGGAGGTGCACCTCCTTGTTCATCCATGGCTTCTGATTCGGGTTGTGGTGATTTGTTTCTGGGTTGTAACACTGTCTATGGTGGTGTTGATATATTCCAGAACAGAGGAAGTGTAACTGTCAATGTCTGTGTGAGAGCCATGTGTGGCCTGGGAAGCAAACATACCCCAGTCTGTGTGTTGAAACCTTTCCTGGAGTGTGGAGTCTACCCCTGCTGGCCACACTTTGATGGTCCTCACTGATGGCTTCACACGGTCAATGGAAGTGAGTATTTGGGGGTAAGGAACAAAGAAAGGTGATCTGACTGACCCAGGTGGGGGAGGGGGGTCACAGCATAGGCTTCAGCTATGTTTGTGTAAACATGGTCCAATGTTTTGTTTCCCCTTGTGTGGCAGAGAATGTTTTGATGGAATTTAGGAAGCACTGTCTTTAAGTTTGAGTGATTAAAATCCCCCGCAACAATAAAAGCAGCCTCCGGGTGAGCAGTCTGTTGTTTGCTGATGGCTGCATGAAGTTTGTTCATAGCCAGCTTTGCATCAGCGTCGGGGGGAATATAAGCAGCAGATATTATGGTGGATATGAACTCCCGTGGTAGATAAAAAGGTCTACATTTAACCATTAGGAATTCCAGGTAGCAGAGCAATGTCTCCCAACGACGACAGAGTTTGTGCACCAAGCTTTGTTAATATAAATGCATAATCCTCTGCCTCTGGTCTTACCGGAGTCATCCGCCGTTCTGTCCACTCGGAATGTGTGGTGCTCCGTTAGCGATACAGCGTTGTCTGGTATCCCGCTGTTTAGCCATGTTTCTGTGAAAATCATGACATTACAGTTCCATAATCTTTTGCTGTGGTTGATGCGCAATCGAATCTCATCCATTTTGTTCACCAGTGACCGTACATTGGCGAGAAAGATGCTGGGTAAAGAGAGCCGGTGTGGTGTTAGCTTTAGCTTAGCTCTTAGCCCGCCGTGCTTCCCCCATCTTTGTTTACGTTCTCTGCGCAGTCTGCGAGCACCTCCGCCCGGCCGGGCAGTTCGCCCAGCCCGGGGTGTTCTGGCAATCTCATGGATGAGTCGAAGATTTTTAATAAAACTGTCCGGAATGCACGAACCAATATCCAAAAGCTCCTGTCAGGTGTACGATGTAAAGGCACCACTGTTCTGCACGAACAGACCCGAAATGAGCAGGAATAATACTGCAAAAATGCAGAAACTGGAGAGACCCTGAGCCTCGCGTTGTGCACGCGCCGCCATCTTGGATTATAAAAAAATAAAAAAATAAAAAAATTTACTCAAAAATTAAACATGTTTTCAGATGAACATGCATGTATTGTGGAGTTTGTAATCCTATAAACCCAGAACAACATCTTAATCAAAAGTTAGTATTTATATGTGGAATCCAGAAATCTGACTTACACGATTACCTTTCCTGCAAAGTTTAGCTCAAAACCCGATCAAACTCCTCACACTAGATTCACATTGGGTGTCTGCATTGATGCTGATGCAATCGTCATAGAGACAACAGAAAAAAACAACAACACAAAGCACAGCTTTTTGACAGCTAGTCAATCATAAACAGAAAACACATACACAGCATTTTTACCAAGGTAATGCGTGTGCTTTTTAATGCACAAAAGATGCCACTTTTCTGACCCATATTACTGCAATTTTTTTGTCCAGTCAAATACTCAAATTACTGCAAAATGCAACTGAATGATGCATTTCAATGGCCAAAAGGGATTTACAAAACAACTTTTGGATTGATCTCCTTTAGGAACCCAGAGGTGTGGATTTGGATGGCAATTAAACCTCCACATAACCTTGGTGTTGGTCAAAAAACAGTAGGTAATTTAGCTGGGGATTTTTACCCAGATGGTGAGAGAAAAAAACTGACATTCTGTATTCGGATGTCAATAAAATCACCAACTCCATCCTGTAAATGGTGAAAATCCCTTACGTCCCCCTGAGAAACAATTACTGTGCGAATGGGGCTTTTGAGAGGATCCAGTCAATCATGGAACCAGAACTCAGGGTAAGTTCAAGCCCACTTTGACCGCCTGGAGAGTAAGATTGTATGATGGTGAAAAGAGAAAACAATAGGTGAGAGTGAATGTTTACTCTAAAATGCTTTGCAAATCAGCTAGCTGTTTATTTGTGAAGCTTTCAGTGTAGCTATAATTAAGACCCTGTACCCTTAACTTTCTCTGTGTGCGCTCACTTTTCAGTTTGATAAAGATGTAAAGAGACTATTTGCTTCTTGAAATGAAAATGTTGTTTAGTTTATGCAACTTAACATCTATATGGTTTAACTTTAAGATCTATATGCTGGAAATCTTATTTCTCTTTTAGGAAATGCAGCCTGCATATATGTTTGTTCAGTCAAGTACTCTGTTAATGTGAAAATGGCATTGGCATAGTCAATGATTAACTATGGGTCTGGTTGAATTCTCTCATTTTTTATTTTATTTTATTTTATTATTTATTTATTTATAAAAAAATATATATTTTTTATATATTGTTAAATACAGCTGCACACAATTGCGTGGTATTAGGATAGATTTAAATTAAATGTTTTCATGATTGAAAATATAATGTTCATGTGTCGTGCTGTAAATAATACTGGTAGATAGATAGTAAATTACATTCATTTTGTCAACTGGATTCAACCAACTTAGATTAACTTGCTAATTTAATTATTTATGTTTGTATTTGTTTGTTTGTTTGTTCGGTTATTTATTTATCTATTTATTTATTTTATTATTTAAACATCTACAAACTATTCACTGCCTCAAAACATTCATTAATTTATTTTTTAGTCCCTTTATTAATCTTGGGTCACCACAGCGGAATGACAACATATCCAGCATCGGATGCCCTTCCAGTTGCAGCCCATCACTGAAAAACATTGATACACACATACATATACTACACTATGGACAATTTAGCCTACGCAATTCACTTATAGCGCATGTCTTTGGAAGAAACCAGAGCACCCAGAGGGGACCCACACAAACACAAAGGAAACATGCAAACTCCACAGAAACGCCAGTTGATCCAGCCGGGGTTAGAATCAGCGACCTTCTTGCTGTGAGGCGATTGTGCTACCCAATGTGCCACCGTGATGCTGCCTCAAAACATTGTTTTATATATTTTCTATAATCTTATTCACTAGTTAATTCATTTAAATGTTTAAATGTTTCATTAAACATGAAACAATGTTGTACATAAAAATGTTAAGTCAGATTTTTATTCAACTCAAGTATTGCATATTTTTTACACAAAACTGCATATTATGTAGAGATAAAATTATTAATGGAATAGTTTCAACCATTTTCTGCCCTCTATAGATTAAATAGAGCCGGAAAGTGCAATTACTGCTGCTTAATTAAAAAAAGGGAAGTCCACTGAAATTTTATGTATTTTTCTTTTTTCTTTGCTGGAGGTCACATTTTCTTTCGAACTTTTAGCAGTTTAACATCCCAAATATAGTTTGCTGCTTCATTAAGCAATATTGGCTTATTACAATTTAAATTCTCTCTCTCACACACACATATACACTTACCTCCATGAGGAAGGGATCAGTCTTAACAGAGCGTCCGGTTGCCACACACTGAAAAGTGGCATTTTGTCCTGCATTCACCTCCACATCCCCAAGGCGGGAGAAATGAGGCACTTTATCTGTGGAAGAATACAAATTGATATTTTATAATTAAATAATCCCAATTTATTTGACTTAGAATGAGCAGAAAAATGCATATAACTCATTAAACTAATCAGTAATTTGTCATGGTATTACCACAATGTTATGAATAAATAAATAAATAAATAAATAAATAAATAAATAAATAAATAAATAAATAATCCTATTACATATATTACACATGAAGCTCATATGGATTTTTGTGTTTTTTGTTTTTTGTTTTTTCTTGTAAGTTTCTTGTAAGTTTTAGAACTCATTATTTCCTTAATAGTCCTAAATGATTTGTTTAATATTTAGTCTCACTAGATCAGTTTCAAAGGTAGGGAGAATAACTGGATTAAAAGATTATTACAGCTTTTCAAAAGCCATTGTAACACAACATACATGCTGGATTTATGTGAACGCCATGTCCTAACTATGTGTGATGCAACACAGCAATACAGCGGCATGTATTTTCCTTGTAAATCTGAGTTTTTGTCTTAACCAGTAGTGACGGCAACACATGAGGGTCACAGTATGTCTGATAATATATATATATAAAAATCCAAAGGGAGCTAATAATTTCGACTTCAACTCGGTTTTGCATTTAAATAATTTGTGCGTTTATATTTCCCCAAATTGACTGTGTGTGCCTCTAAATCCATGAGCTGAGATGAGGAAACTCCTCCCCGCGAGTAAATATCCAATCACTATGCTCAAGTGTTAGGGGCGCTTGACCATCATTCTACACTTTAACATGGCAAGCGGCGATGAAGTGAGGCTAAGGCAACAGTACACAGAAGCATAAAATAACAAAGGCAGTGCAGGTGTTTATTGCTAAAGATTTTGTAGCCTTTTTCGGTGATTGGAGATGTGGGATTTTGTCATTTTATAAAAGCACTCGATCCTCTTTACAAACTACAGTCTTTTTTTCAGCACCGAGATAATTAAGATGGTTTATTTATGTTTACTTTAGTACAAATATGTTTATTTGAAATGGCCAATTTATCTTTATTAGCTTCACATGTATGTTTATTTTCAAAGTGTAGGATTTTATGTGTTTCCCAGTTTGTACATGGGCTACCAGCAGCTGTGAGGTTTCAGAGTTAATTTTTTTATACAATACACTAGGAAATAGTGTACTTTTCTTGGCTGTTAAGCAAAACAAAATGAGTGTTGCAATAAATCTTTTTTTTTTTTTTTCTACTTAACCTCTTACTGTTCCTATTGCCTATAGAATAAAGAAAAAAAAAAAAAACACATGTCAAGCCATAAGAACCGAACTAAAAACCATGTTATTGTTATTATATTATTAATATAATATTAATATTAATAATAATAATAATAATAATAATAATAATAATAATAATAATAATAATAATAATAATAATAATTTATTTATTTATTATTTATTTATTTATTCATTTATTGTACTTTCATAATCCAGATTTTTTTAAAAATAGTTTTTTGGCTAATGTATAAAATTTTAAATACTGTCCTTTCCTAAGAAACCATAAGCTGCATAAATTTATTATTTAAAAAAAAATATAATAAAAAAATAAATAAAATAAAATAAAATAAAATAAAATAAAATAAAATAAAATAAAATAAAATAAAATAAAATAAAATAAAATGAAATAAAATAAAATAAAATAAAATAAAATAAAATAAAATAATATAGTTTCTATCTATTTTTAAGTATTCAGATCTTAAGCAACCTGGTAGATGTTCCCTATTATTTGTTTTCATACATCTTAAATTGTTTTAGCCCTCACTGTTTTTGCAATGAAGTACACAATAAAAATGATTTATACTTTTTCCCTAGTCGCCATGCAGTCCATTCATATCACTTATCTCTAAGCGTCATGTTTTGTCTTCATGCCCACCGAACGCCTCATTTGTTCTTATCTGCCTGTGCTTGTCAGCTCAGGATCAAATCATTACACGCTCTCCATATCAAGAGCAACAGTGCCATAACATGACCGCGTTTCACTTATTCCCACTGCTTTGCAGAAAACTCAAGCTTTATTTTCTGCCAGCTTTATTTTCTGTTTGAGTGAATCAGAGTGAATGCAGCACGACCATCGCAAGACAAAGTAGCTGACCGGAGGTAGACATTCAATTCCAGCAACCCTTCTGCATTTTCAAAGCATAATAAGGAAAAATCTCCAACTGCTGAATGCTTAAAATGCTTTCAAACCATGTAAAAGGAAAAAAAAAAAATCATACGGCTTTTACCTAAAGACGGCCTCTTGAAAAGCACATCCTTTGCTTCTACAAAATACCTCTTGTCAGTGGCCTTCTGTTTCTCGTTTATTATTGCATTAGTCTGTTAACTTGCTGCTAATGAGTAAAGTTCTAACGCTTTCTGATGTCAGTGGCTCAAAAAATAAATAAATAAAAAATCTGATGTGAATGGATACAATGAAATCTGTTCTGCTGGAGCGAAACTTGAGGCTGGAGCTGTTTGGTGTTTTATTGACTATTTAATAGCGTGCTTATGATGTGAAGAGAAATGTAGGTGGTTTAACTGGCATTTTTGTTGCTGTAATATCGTGAGTGTGTTGGTTGCACTGATTCATTCTCTGTTACTGAATATAAGAGTGAAATAATATTGATTTTAAGGATGACTATTAAGTCTAGTGCCAAACAAACATGATGGCAGCAATTCTCAGAGGAGGGTAAATCTTTGTTTCGTTAGTTGAAAGAGATTCAGAGCTGCAAATGCGTAGAGCTTCAAACTTCAGCAAAGAAACGCAGTGCCATGCTGTAAACGGTATAAACAACAAGTGATAGATTGATTGGACCAATTTAACCACTATGACTGATGGCAAAATGATTTGTGGACAAAAAAGAAGTTATTTTTTCGGGTTGTCTATTTTTTTTTAACAATTGAGTAACTATTTCACTACAATGTTATAATTTGCAATGCAAAATCATTGAAATCTATTAACAGTACATTAAGACAAAAGAAATTAAGAAATTAAGAGTATATTTATAGATCTATGCTTTAACTCGTTTTACCCCAATATACACATACAGTACAAGTCAGAACTATTAGCTCCCCTTTGATTTTTTTATTTATTTATTTGTTTTTTTAAATATTTCCTAAATTATGTTTAACAGAGCAAGGACATTTTCACAGTATGTCTGCTAATTTTTTTTTTTCTTTTTTAGAAAGTCTTATTTGTTTTATTTTGGCTGGATTAAAAGCAGTTTTTAATTATTATTTTTTTATATATATATTTAGGGACAAAATTATAGGCCCTTTAAGCTATATTTTATTCTACAGAACATACCATTATTATAAAATAACTTGCCTAATTACCTTATCCTGCCTAGTTAACATAATTATCCTAGTAAAGCCTTTAAATGTCAATTTAGGCTGTAGAAGTGTCCTGAACTTGGCATTTCTGTTTGGAGTTTGCATGTTCTTCCCGTGTTCCCATAGGTTTCCTCTGGGTGTTTAGGCTTCCCCCATAGTCCAAAGACATGGTACAGGTGAATTAAATAAATCAAACTGGCCCAATTTTGTTTTCCCAGTGTTGGGTTGCAGCTCAAAGGGCATCCACTGTGTAAAACAAATGCTGGATAAGTTGGCGGTTCATTTTGTTGTGGTGAGACCTGATTAATAAAGCGACTAAGCTATTTTTTTCTCCGTTTTCTGTTGAACAAAGCGCAGATTTTTTCAACACATTTCTAAACAAAATAGTCATAATAACTTATCTCTGTTAATAGCTGATTTATTTTATCTTTGCCATGATGACAGTAAATAATATTTTACTACATATTTTGCAAGAAACTTCTATACAGCTTAAAGTGACATTTAAAGGCTTAACTAGGTTAATTAGGTAAACTGGGGAGGTTAGGGTAATTAGGAAAGTTATTGTATAACAATGGTTTGTTCTGTAGTCTATCGAAGAAAAAAAAATGCCTAAAGTAATTTTGTCCTTAAATGATGTTTAAAAGATGTAAAACTGCTTTTATTCTGGTCGGAAAAAAATAAAAATAAAAAATAAGATTTCTCAAGAAGAAAAAAAAATATTATATATATTTTTTTTGACATTTGCTTAAAGTTTTGATTGTTTGGTTTGATTGTTGTACACAAACAAGACTAGCCACAGTCTAGTTAATTTAGAAAATATCTGTAAAATAAACAAGTGAAATGTAGGACAGAAAAGCCTTTCTGCTCTGGCTGTGGCTGCTCCTGCGGCAGCATTTCGCTCTAGTTCTAGTGAAACTATGTGTAATCTGAGCAAAATCCTCATAGCGCTGCCTTTGGCAAGAGCACAGGATTCTGGGTAAACACCATGCCCTGTTTTTGTCATTATGTCTCTATAGTTCACCTACATCCAAAATGTGGCCACTGATCAGCAAATCTGCCCTGCATCCTTACGTAATCCATATCACTTTTAATTAGATTTTTCAAAATTTGCTTTCTTTTTTGAGAATAGACAGACTGGCAGAAAAAAAAATAAATTGTTAAATATTTAATTAGATTTATTACAGGTTTTCTGAAGTAATAATAATAATAATATTTATAATAATAATAATAATAATAATAATAATAATAATAATAATAATATTTATAATAATAATAATAATAATAATAATAATAATAATAATAATAATAATAATAATAATAATAATGGCGTATTAATAATAATTATGGCGAAGCAGTGATACAGTAGGTAGTGCTGTCGCCTCACAGCAAGAAGGTCGCTGGGTCGCTAGTTAGAGCCTCGGCTTAGTTGGCGTTTCTATGTGGAGTTTGCATGTTTGCATGTTCTCCCTGCTTTCGCGTGGGTTTCCTCCGGATGCTCCAGTTTCCCCCACAGTCCACAGACATGTGGTACAGGTGAATTGGGTAGGCTAAATTGTCGGTAGTGTATGAATGTGTGTGTGAATGTGTGTGTGGATGTTTCCCAGAAATGGGTTGTGGCTGGAAGGGCATCCGCTGCGTAGAAACTTGCTGGATAAGTTGGCGGTTCATTCCGCT